TAGTTCTAGTGTTAAACTCCTCAAGAAAGAAATATTATTAGTGCAACTTGGTTCAGCTAGGTTAGGTTACTAATTAATACAATAAGTACATCATTATCGTACGTATATGTATGTATTATAAAATATATTAACACAAAATATAAAATACCAAATATATTATAAAATTAGTCATTTTGACCACTTTGGTAGTTGTAGTAGTGTTAAACTCCCCTAAGAAAGAAATAATCAGTAGGCAATTCAAGAAATATCACTGCAATTTGAATTATCATCTAACGATAATGATGCACGTGTATGTGTGTATTATAAAATACAAAATATAAAATATATTATAAAATTAGTCATTTTGACCATTTTGGTAGTTCTAGTGTTAAACTCCCCAAGAAAGAAATAATTAGTATGCAATTCAAGAAATATATATATATATATTGAAATGAATATAATGTTTTTGTTTATTAAAAGTGTAATAAACTTTTTTGCCAGATGCTTGACAGGCAGCTATGACCGAACGTGTAAAGTTTGGGACATTGACAGTGGAGCGGAGCTTCTTACTCTCGAAGGCCATAAGAATGTGGTCTACACCGTGTCCTTCAACAACCCAATCTCGTGCGTCTCGTTTGAGCATTAACTCTTAACAATTCATTTGTATCGTGTGTCGCCGACCGGAAACCGGGGAGGATGCGTGAATAATCAAGTGTCTCTCGATTAAGAGAAAGATTCCTTGTCTCTCATAAAGAACTCCATGCTGAAAAAAAAGTTGTATGATAAAATAATTTGAAAAAAGAATTCATTGTTGGAGAAATAAATTTAATTACTCTATATTAAAAAAAGAAAAAAAATTTGTATTGATCGTAATTAATTACCCCTTTTTTCTCAGGGACAAAATCGTAACCGGTTCCTTTGACAACACTGTGAAGGTTTGGTGTTCTCGAACAGGGCATTGCTTTCTAACTATGTGGGGACATAACGCTGAAGTAGTTGTTGCTAGATTCTCGCCCAACTGTAACAGAATTGGAACAGGTTCTTTAGACATGACGTCCAAGATATTTGACTTGACAACAGGTATATATATCACCATCTAAATTGCAGTAATAAAATTTTATCTTCAATGCTTAAGATAAGTTAAATTGTAAGAATCATTGAACTGGGATTCTTATCTATTATCTGGCATTGTTATCTATCAAGCGTTTGAAATTTCTACATAGAACAAGAAAATTAATTCAAATCTATTTCTGCCTTAGGTGAAGAATTAGGAACGTTAAGAGGCCACACGGCAGAAATAATCGCTTTACAATTTAATAATGATGGAAATCAAATGATAACTGGCTCCTTTGACGGTACTGTCAGTATTTGGGATGCGAGGACTTTCAGGTGAGTTCTGAATCTCCATTTAAGTCCATTATTTACAGTCCAATGTGTAGTTGCAGAAAGGGAAAAAGAAACAAACCAAAATGTGACAATCAGAATGTAACAATAGAGCTACCAGTCTTTTCAACGTTTAAATCAACTTAAGAAAAAGTATTTTTAGCAGTAAAATATATAATAGTATCTTTAATTCTCAGAAAAGAGGTCGAGCTCTGTTCATTTTAGTTCTATTCAAAAAAGTTTGACTAAAAATATCTGCAGTACAGATATAGATACTCTATATATATATATCAGTATAGATACTCTATCAATATAGATACTTTATATTGATATATAT